TGCTTTGCAAGGGGAATTGCAGTCGGATTTTCCGTTACTTATACATCTGTGTCTATATTTTGGCATTTATTGGTCCGACCCCTTGGTAGATTGCCTGCATTTGTAGTGTCTGCATTTTGATATGTGTTGGTCCAACCCACTGCTAGATTGCCTGCACTCGTGTCTCCCTGCAGGCATGTCCATGCTGTCCCCATCCCCATCCCTGTCCCCGGGATGTGCTGCCCTTCTCTGCTGCAGTTTGCTTGACGTGGTAGAGAGGTTTTATTCATTTCTGCCCGGATGCAATAAATCCCTTTGCACAGCTCTGCTTGGAGGCTCCAAGGTGGTAAAATACACTGCGGGCGTAAAGTCCAATTCAGCACGGCTTTCCTCGGCTGCAAAATGCGTCGAATAAACAGTTTCAGCTCTTTCGGCGTCAGGAAACGCTTGAGTCTCAGAAAAGCCCATAATTGAGTGTACCTGTGGCACAGGGCTGCGTCTAATCAGTCGCTGTGTAGGTGGGTAGTGTCAAGTGCCATTCATCTGCTTCCCCTGAGATCTGTGGAAACAAGGAGGAGGGGAAGCGATAAGACAAAGATATATAACCATGTTGACCACTGAAGTACATGGTTAACAACTTAATTATCTGAGTTCAGCTATCAGTCAGAAACAAACCTGTACAATTTAGACATACTTTATAATTTGCTATAAAAATGGCATAATGATAAGGACAGTGTCGCTAGAATTAGAATCTGCATTAAGTGTGTTTAATTTAATTTTTCTAATTAAATTTCTAATAGCTTAAATATGTGCACTGATAAAATGGTTAGCCACCTGCATTTAAATGCCACCTGATGCGTTTATTTTGGAACAGTGGAAGATTGATATAATTTGAGCTCGAGCTCCTCTGAAAATTCCTTTATTAATGGGCGTTAAATTATTCTTTGTGGCGATGCTGCTCGCGAAGCCGGAGCGCCGCTGCCGTTGTGGGATGATGAGATGCTGCGCATCCAAAAACGTTCCCTGTATTTCCTGAGCTGTTGGGAAGGGCTGTGTTTAATTAGGGGTGAAAAGTTGTGCCAACATGTTGCGTGTCTTTGGGCTGCCTTTGCTGGGGGACGCTTGGTTAAATCGCGTTGAGTTGGTGGTGTGTGTGTTGAGGGTGTTGCCGTATCAGTTATGGATTTATCTAATTAACCTAATGGCCAAAAATGCCACCCACTGTGCATTGCAGTTTCAAGGAGATCCTCCTCTCCTCCTAGGCTTGAGATTTGCTAAATTACCCTTTTCTGAGCTGGAACTGTACACTTTTGCATAGATCTCTGTCAAAAAGGGTGTTTAAAAAGTGACCACAAAAATAGGAAGAAAAGAAAGAAAACCCACCCTCCTTCCTTTCATATGAGTAAGTGAAAATTGACATTTTGTTTTAATTCTGTGCAGCTGATCCTGCCAGGGGATATCTCCAGGCCAATTTGAAATGTGTAATAAATTACCAATAAAATAGTGATTAGAAAGCCCAGTATTAAAAAATCAAAATAGCTTAATTTCATGAATTTCACACTGCAGATATTGCTACAGGGCTAAGAAAAAAGCATAAACCCACAAAATCAATGTTTATTAATAGTTTATTTGTATTCTGAGCTCCATTCATTCTTTGCATTTTGCTGCCCGAATAGAGAGCTGTGCTTCCACATCAATCCAGAGAATACAGAGGAGAGCAGGAGCCCTTCTGAAAGGACAAATTAAACCTGGACTGCGTGTGGATGGGAAATAGAAATGCTGAGAGGCAAGGTCAGAACAAACCTTTCTCCCTGACTTCAGCTCTTCCACGTGGGCCATAAGCAGCACTCCTTGCTCCATGCCATCACTGATGCTGCTTGGGACCCTCTGCTTTGCAGAACCTGTGCTGCTCATGAAGGAGGTTGTTAAGGGTTCACTGATGTTGCATCTCTTCAACAAAGAGCCTAAAAGACAGCAAAAAAAAGCTGAGCACATCCTGAGAAACCCCATAGCTCCACGTGCCTGGAGCTGGGCCCTGCTGCTGTCTGTGGGCAGATGGGCAGCTGTGGCTGTGAGCTCCACGTGGAACTCAACCCATGTTGGCAGATGGAGGAGGTGGCATGTAAGATTACATTAGATTAGATGTATTAGGGAGGAGTGAGGCCCTGGCACTGCTGCCTGGAGCTGTGGGTGCCTCATCCCTGGATGTGTCCGACTCCACGCAGCCTGAAATGGTGGGGGGCAGCCAGCCCAGAGCAGAGGTAGGGGTGGGGGGCTTTGGGGTCCCTTCCAACCCAACAAATCCACGGTTCTGTGGTCTTTAATGTCCATTCCAACCCAATCATTCCATGGTTCTATGGTTTTTAATGTCCCTTCCAACCCAACCGTTCTACGTTCTATTATAGTGCCAAGTGCTGATGGGTAGAGCAGGCAGCACGTGATGCTGGGTGCCAATGAATGGAGGTGGTAGCAATCCTGTTGAGTGCTGGTGCAGCTGTGCCAGGTGTTGTGGGTCTGTGTTCAGAGCTGAATTTGTATTTCCTCCCTTCCCCAGGGAATGCCACCACCCAGCATCCTCAGCAATGTTTTACTTCAGTTGTTTCATGACACGGGCTGTCTCAGCTCCAATGCCTGCTCCTTTGGTTCTGCCACACCTCTGCCTTATCATAGAATCATAGAATCATAGAATCACTAAGGTTGGAAAAGACCTAAAAGATCACCCAGTCCAACCGTTCACCTATTCCCAATAGCTCCTACTAAACCACGTCCCTCAACACAACATCCAGTCTTTCCTTGAACACCCCCAGGGTCGGTGATTCCACCACCTCCCTGGGCAGTCCATTCCAGTGCCTGACCACCCTTTCTGAAAAGTAATACTTCCTCACACTCCTGCACATGTGCCATGGTGAGCTTTTAAAAAACACCCAAAAGCCATTTTATTTTGATTCAAGCAGCGACACTCAAAAAAGTCAGTGTGCAAATCTAGCCCCTAAGCACTTTAAACAGGAAGAACACTGATTTTTCAGAACAAAACACAAGGAAACTCCACGCCTAAGCCCCTGGAAGTCCATGGGATTCCTTTTATTGACTCCTCTGAGCGCTGGATAAGGCAGCAGAAGCAAACGCTGCTCAGATAGAGGGACCCCGACTACTTGGTGTAGGATTGTTTTCAATTTCCTGGCCCTTTGATCTCATATGGATTCCTTTAACATTTACCTTGATATAAAGAATATTTCCAGCTGCTTGCACTGCTGGGGTGTTAATCCTGTAATATGCACACCTGGAGCTGAGTGGGAGGTGAGCACAGTGATGCCACCCAGCCCTGTGCCCACTGCTGCATTCAGCTTTCCTGGATTTGCCACCCATCAATGTATTTTCTATTCAAGCCTGTTCCATAGTTGGTAAACTGAGAAATACACCATTAGAAAGTGATGCTCTTTTTGCCCCCAGCCGAACTTCACAGGGGGGGGTTGAAACTAGATGAGCATTTTGGTCCTTTTCAAATCAGGCCATTCTATGATTTGCTCTGTTTGAAGGCCAGCCACAAGATCATTTAGGAGGTGATCCTTTGAGTTTGGTGCCAGCGTATAACCAGGCAACGTTACTCCCACACCTTTGGGTTTGGGCTGCACGCAGCACTCACCAGTGGCTCAGTAAAAGAACTACTCCGTTTAGATCATCTGCCCTAGAAGGATGATAAACCATAACCAGGCTTTATTGTCTTTTTGGATGAATTCTAATGAAATGAATTAATCTCCACAGAAAACGAGAAGTTTTTATAGCTGTAAATGTATATGAGAAATGAACGACAAATTTGCTGCGACCGTTTTAGGGCCGGTCCTTTCTTTTTGTGTACAGTCCTGTTATTGTTCACTTGTTCTTTATGCTTTTTTTTTTTTTTGGCAGCAACGTGCTCTGTTTGAAAGACCTTATTACATGTGATATTGCCAACAGCCCCTGTTCAGAACGCTTCCTACCAGAGCCATGGCCACTAATGGTGCTCTTGGGTGCGTGGCCAGCAGCCGGTGAGGGTGCTGCTGTGGGCAAAGAGGCCAAAGAAGGGCATGGGGCAGGGGCAAAGCTCTGGATGTCTGCACTGCTGTGTGCACTCCAGCCCCCCCCAGCTGTTTGCTGGAGCCCCCAGTCCTGTGCTTCCGTGACAAACACTTTTATAATGCTTCATTATAGCAGGCGGCCGAGGGACAAGTGAGATGCGTGAGTACAAGAAAATGAAATCAGTATTTAATTACTAAATATTCTACATCTAAAAAAAAAAAAAGCTTAAATAATTCAGTTTGATTTGGTCTAATTAGCCTGATTTCCTAGTATTTAGCCCTAATTATGTGATACATAAGCCCTAATTATGTGGTACGTATACAGTGTGCTCTCTAAAGTTAAAGATCAGAACGGATACTGACTTAAATGATAAAATATGTTAAATTATTAATTATAATTAATCTTACAAAATAGGCATAATTAGTTTAAGTACTTTAGATATTCTACTTAATACCGTTATGCATTATATGCAAGGTTGAAACATTTTACAAATACTGCCTCAAATGACAAATGCCAGCAGGTTCATCCCATCTGCAGCCCCCATAGGGTCAGAAGGGCCAGGGCCAGAGGGGCTCAGAAAACCCTTCCTGTTGTTGGGGCTGAGTGCGTGGTGGGAGGATTGGAGAAGCTTGTGAATGTCTATAAACGTGTTGTTACTGGAATGACTTGTTGCTGAGTTCAAACTTGTGGACACACCTGAACAGGTTGCCCAAGGAGGCTGTGGATGCCCCATCCCTGCAGGCATTCAAGGCCAGGCTGGATGTGGCTCTGGGCAGCCTGGGCTGCTGGTTGGTGACCTGCACACAGCAGGGGCTTGGAACTGGATGAGCATTGTGCTCCTTTGCAACCCAGGCCGTTCTATGGTTCTGCGATTCTATGAGTTGCTGCCTAGCACACAAGCAGCAGGAGAGCTTGAAAAGCCGCGGGCTTTGCAGGTTGCAAGATGCACCTTTACAACATTTGTCTCTCTGCTTGATAAACAGTAGAGTTGCCCCAGGTATAACACTGTTAGATAAAGCAATGCGCCCTCCAAGGCAGAGATATTTATAGTTCTGCTATTAAAACGTGCCTTACAGCTCATTTCTCTAACGTAATGTTGGCAAAATTAGGCTGAAATTACTGCGAAAACTGCTTCTCACCAGGTTCTTTTTTATAGTTCTGTCCTTTGATGAGGTCGGGAGTTGGCGGGGTCAGCTTTCCTCGGTCGCCGTGGTGAGTATGCAGCAATATGCAATAGAGACATAAGAGCCAATTCCAAAGTCACTTGGAAAAGTGTTTTTTCTGTTTCAAGATTTGTGGGAACAGAGTGGAGGAAGACATTCCAGGGTATTTTCACAAACCGGCTCACCAAGTGCTGAAACCCATGGCAGCGATTGGCAGCACCTCCCTGCCTCCTGGCGCGCCGCCCAGCTATTAATGGGCGTCATGAAAAATAGGAACGAGTTCACCTTGAAAACAGTCACATTATCAATGTTACAAAGGCTCTCTCTATTTTATTTTTAAATTGCTTGCTGTAAAAAGCAGACCAAAACGTGCTTGAAAGCATTATTTGTAGATTTTCTTGCTGCGTTTGGATGGAAGCTATAGAATGGACCGTAATCTATTGCTACTTACGTTCTTTTCTGGTAAGTGTAACCAATCATTCTTTTATTTTTTTTTAGCTTTTTATGAGCATTCACGTATGTATTCCAGTGCAATATGAAATCATGTATGTTGTAATGAGCTGTATGTGCATTGCAAGATGTGTGTGCATGCATCTAAGTAGCCATCTACAGCATCGTGTCTTCTTGGGGAACGCCAAGAAGCCAGGCTTGTGAGTCTGAAAATGCACTGTAGAACATAGGGGATTCAATCTGCCGTACATTTTTGTTTCCTATATAATGACAAAAAAATTAAATTATAGTGAGGAAGGCTTGAAGATAGGAAACTAAGTGTAGAAACATTGTACACGTGTACATTGGGAATCCCTTTAAATAATTCAAACTGTTTATACCAACACAATGTTTGAGGTGTTGGCAGTGCCAGGAGCATGAAAGAAGCTAAAGTGTGAGAGAAGTAACCTGGGGTGTAATTTATAATTAATACAATCAGATATATTGGGGCAGTGAGCACCAGAACAGCACTAGGAGAGAATTGTGGACATTGCTGGTTCGACAGGGAGTGCCTGGGGATGGGCTGGTGGGCTTCATTTGGGAACTTGGGGCAGCATCATGCCGTCAGGATACTGCAGAAAGGGGAGAAATGCTCTACATAATCGTTCCAATTTCCTAACTGTTGGGATGTGGAAATCACAGCATACTGGAGAATGGCTTTGCAGAACTGGTGAGCTTTTCAAATATTGTAAATGTGAGAATTCATGTTAGATATGCAGCTGATTTTTGCATGTTGAATAGATTAAATACTCGTGCAATTCTTGATGCAAGTAACCTGCAATAGGATGAGAGGCAATGGCCTCAAGTTGTGCCAAAGGAGCTTCAGGTAGGATATTAGGAAAAAATTTTCTTAAAGAGTGGTTGGGCAGTGGCACAGCTGCTTAGGGGGTGGGGGGTCACCAACCCTGAGGGTGTCCCAGACCTGTGGGGATGTGGCACTGAGGGATGCAGGCAGTGGACATGGGGGGGTGGGGTTGAACGTGGGGATCTCAGAGGTCTTTTCCAACCTCAAAAGGATTCTATGGTTCTGTGTTCACTTGTCCAGAATGGAACAAGGAGGCTGCTGTGTGCTGTGAGAGGAAGAGCCAACTGCTGCAAAACAGAGTGAGATGGTAAGATCTTTGGCTTGGGATGCTTTGGGCCAGAAAAGATGGTTTTGTTCCATGCAGTTTGTCTCCCCTTGTGTGCAGTGTCCCAGAAGGCGCCAGGAGATTCCTACCAGGAGCTTCCCTGTTCCCTCCTGCCTGGTGCTGAGCAGGTACCAGATCCAGTGTCCTCAGGTGCTGCCTGCTCACAGCCAGGCAAACTGCTAGCCCCTCTCCTTCCATTTCACCGGTGTCCTCTTGTTTCTGCTCCACGCCGTATTGCCTGTCTTCTCACCCTGTAGCAACATACGCATTTGAATAATGGAAAGGACACCTTAAATTACGTTGTCTGCAGATATTACTGGGACTCCCAGGATTTGCCATGCTGGATCAGAGCGCTGGTCCATCTCATGGGGCTCCTGCCCTGCAGCACCTGTGTGTGGTATGTGGCAGGGCTCACTATCCCAGCGCTCACAGGGAGCACCCCAGGCCCTGCTGAGGGCACCTGTACGCTCTCTTTCTGAGCTGCTACCTTGACATAAAATAGCTTTTCTCTCTTTATTAAACTCCCCATTAGATTTTCTTCCATTTTCCCAATTCTATTCCCCCTCCCTCCCCCATATTTACATTATTTTAATAGTTTGTTTTAACCAAGCTTGATTTTTCAGGTCGTCCTTTTACAGCATGAACCGTGTTATCAGGAAGATGCGAAATAAACATGACAAAGCGATACACTCCTTTAAAGCTGCCTTAATTTTACTGGGAACACTGGTGAGTGAGCCTGCAATGGCTGAGATGTCTGAATGTCTCTGCACACATGGGCGCACAGAAGGGCTGATTGTGATGTTACGTGTAACACTTCAGATCTTTTCTGAATTTTCTCATTGCCATTTCCGTCTCTTTTCATCAACCTTTGCATTGCTAAGCCTATCTCTGCTCTGTCAAACCGATGTCCCCTTGCACTTTAGCCCCTCCTATGGATACTGGTCCAACACCAACACAAGGCCCTGCTCTTTGCTAGCTGGGGTTGCTCTTCCCATCCATTCATTCTCTGCCTGTGCTTCGTAACACAGGCAGAGGATGCAGTGCTGAGCCAACTATGGGAAATAAAGAAGTGCAGAACTGTACTTTTTTCCTTGAAAAACGAGAGGATTTGCTCTGGTGAGGGCTGATGAGTGCTCAGGGGGCTTCTTTGCTGGAGTTCAGGTAGGCAGGGGCTCCTGGTATTTCTTTGTCTTCCCTGGAAGCAGATGGTCCAGTGCAGAGGGAATCAGCACAGCATAGAGCAAGGGACTCTGGCTAAGACCATGTGCAAACACATTGTAAGCTGTGCTTTCCTGGGGCATTAATCCATGAAGATATTAAAGAAGCTACCAGCAGCACGTCCCCACCAAGAGACCTGCTGGCAAGCCACGGTCACTGGTGCAGAGTTTTACACCCTGTTGTTTCCCATCAGACCCATTGCCTCCTCTGCTTGTGTGGGTCCTCATGTCTGCTGGGGATATGGTGAGATCAGGAGCACTGTGGAATTTTCCTCTAGAAAAAATACGTTGGAGCATTTTGTAACATAGAATGGTGTAACCATTAGAGAGCTGCAGAGGTACAAGTACACACAGGTGTTAATGGAGACACTGCCCATAAGGGATTCATACAACCCCAGATTCAAAAGAATGGTTCCTCTCCTATCCTGCCTGCTTGCCTTTGTATTTACATACATTTGTTATTTTTGTCTATCTGCAGCAAAAGCAAGACAATACCAGGCACTGTGTGAAGCTTTGCATGTGGTTGACCTGCTGTGCTCTAGGGGCTGCGTATGGTCAGAGTGGGATTTGAGAGCCACAGGAGGAACAGCACAAGCAGGTGTTTATACTACTTGCTTATCACAGACACAGCTTCAGCTACCCTGGGCTGTAATTTTAAGGGATTATTAAGTAGGAACTGTATGAAAATGGGGACTATGTACCAAAGTCCGTGGCTCTGGTCAGTATCCAAATTAGAAACCTGCAGACTTCAGGTGGGGCCAGCTGTGGGTTGTCTGTGAGCAGTGTTTGATCTCATGGCAGACTTCTCAATGAGATTCTCAATGGCAGAGACTTCTGTTCAACATTTTTGTTCCTTCCAGTCTCTCTTGTTCGTTTAGAGAAAATCCTCTTTCTCCTTGATAACTGCACATGATTGCCCAAACCCAGCTAAAACTTGAGTTAGACCAGTTCCTCCACAAACCAGATGTGAAACCAAGCATCTGACCTGATGTCACATTTGAAAATAGCAGGGCTGGAAGGAGGAGGCATGGCAGTGAGAAGTTTGGGTCTGTTTTAGAGGTCAGAGGCAAGCCCACTAACCTGCACTTGGCAGGTGAGTTGTGCATCGCTCTGCCTGCAGTGAGCAGGATGGGCTTGCTTCCATCCACACTGCCTTCCTTCCATCCTCGCTGCTTATGCCACTCAGCAGCCATGGGTAGGAGTGTGTGCTCAGCTCTTTGTTCTCGCCCAGCGGGAGGCAGGTTTTCCTGCTTCCCGTGTGCCTGGGTGCTCTTTAATCTATTGTTTGTCTTATAAAATGGCTGAATACAACAAAGATCTTTTGGTTTATTGAAACTGCCTAGGAAAAAAAAAAATTATTTAAACTAATACACAGAGGAATTCCTAAATCTTGGTTTCGTTGTGTTTTTTTTTTTGTTGTTTTTTATTTTATTTTATAATTCTGCATTACAGTACAGAAAAAAAAAAATCTGTCCTTCTGTCTGGCTAATGTTAGTTTGATGATTATACTAATATTAACTGCTTTACTTGAGTAAGCAAAGAAAAGGTAAAATACCAGTCAGACCAGCTGCTAATTCACAGAGTGTTGTACGACGGTTATTAAAAATACCCAAAAGATGTACCTTTGTGGTTCAGGCTTTTGAATTAGAAGCAGAATATTAATTTAGGCCTGAAGCATGATTAAACATTGTAAGGCCCCCTAAGAATTTTCACCAAATTTTCTTGGATTTCTCTTTATTGGGTCTTCCTCGACTGTGTTTAGCTCTGTAATTGCTTTGCTCCTTTGTTGATAGGCTAAAGCACAATGTGATTTTCTCCATGTCATAATATTTAAGAGGACGGTTCAATGTTCCGCATGTATGATGTGCAGCTGGGGCACACGGAGCCATGATGGGGGTGTGGGCTCTCTGTAGCTTTTCTTTTTCCCTTTCCCTTCCTTTTTTTTTTTCCTTCTTCTTTTTTTTTTCTCATTACTCTTGCAGTTCTGCAGAAGGAAGTCACAAAATTTGTCTGTGTGGGCAACAACCCAGTAAATGCAATATGTGTCTCTATGGGGAGAAAAGGAGCAGAACCTGCCCCAGCACCTCGTGCAAGGGGGGAACAAATCCATGCCCAAAGGCTCGTGTTATTTTGTATTTTTGTCCAACAAAACTGTATTTGGAGGTTTACTGAAAGTTTAGAAGGTTTCTAAAGCAGAGTTGTAGGAAATGTGTCCAGTTTTGGGCCCCTCACTGCAAGAAAGATATTGAGGCCCTGGAACGTGTTCAAAGGAGGGCAACAAAGCTGGTGAGGGGTCTGGAACACAGGCCATATGAGGAGAGGCTGAAGGAGCTGGGAATGTTCAGCCTGGAGAAGAGGAGGCTCAGGGGAGACCTTATTGCTCTCTATAACTTCCTGAAGGGAGGTTGTAGTGAGCTGGGGGTCGGCCTCTTCTCTCGTGTCATCAGTGATAGGAGCAGAGGGAATGGCTTCAAGCTACGGCAGGGGAGATTCAGGCTGGACATGAGGAAGTATTACTTTTCAGAAAGGGTGGTCAGGCACTGGAATGGATGCCCAGGGAGGTGGTGGAATCACCGACCCTGGGGGTGTTCAAGGAAAGACTGGATGTTGTGTTGAGGGACATGGTTTAGTAGGAGCTATTGGGAATAGGTGAACGGTTGGACTGGGTGATCTTTTAGGTCTTTTCCAACCTTAGTGATTCTATGATTCTATGATTCTATGAAATTCCAATCATAGATTAAAAAAAAAAGAGGTAAAAAATCCAACTGCTTCCCTGCTCTCCTCTTTTGGAGAATAACTTCAAAACCTTGGTTCGAGTTCCCTGTGGGGATTGAAGAGTTAAAATGTAATTGGTAAAATCCATTATATGTGTTATGAAAGGAAAAACATATTTGGCAAAAAACAGAAAAAAGAAAAAAGAAAAAGATCCCAGAGCGTGAAGAGGATGTCACTGGCATCATGAGACAGAGGAATAAAGAACAAGGTCTTCTCAGTGCCCAGCTCTGGGACACACAGAGCCAGGTTCTTGCTGGGTCCCTGGTGCTCCCTCAAGGGCAATGAGAGGGGGAAGGGCTGCGGTGCTGAGTGCTTGCAAGGCTTCCTGGGGAAAGCTTAGCCAGAAAGGAGGGGGTGCTGTCACAGGGGAATGCATGTATATCTCTCTGAGATCCTGAATTGCTTTGGAAGGCCTAGTATTTGGCTGTGGTTAGGTAACTTATGTATAGAACCACTAAAACTCTTAATGTGTCAGCAAAAATGCCTGCCTAGTTCTGTACCGTCAGGTAGAGATATTCAGACATAGTGATAACGTTACTCAAGAAGGTAATTATCATCTTCTACATGCATTGAGAAACACCTCCAATTCCTCATCATTTTTAAAGAGCAACATGGTTTGCTAAATGTACCAGAATTTCCCTTTTACACGATACAGAATCAGAGAGATCTATCTAATGAAAAAGGACCGTGCTGCCTCTGAGATGTGCCCCAAGGCCACCTTCGAGAGCAGGATGGGGATGACAGTCAGCAAAAGTCTGAAACACATTTTATTTGTGCCTCTTCAATGAATGTTGGGAAGAACAGCAAATCTGTGCTGACAGTGATGCTGAATATTGAGGCGTATCAACAGTGTGGAGAATGAGCTAGCTGTTCATTAAGAAATAATGATTTATGAAGACAGTAATGACAAAAAAAAAAACAAACATATTTTGAGGCATCGCATCCAAAAATCTTCTATTTAAATTCTTTATGAGAGAGGGAGGAAGAAAGGAAGGAGGAAGACATTAATTACATAGAGAAGAAATTTTTAATCAGAGGAAGTTTGATTTGAATCGGGATAGTAAAGGTTACAACCAAGCAGCAGAGTCTGCAGGAAGCACTGTGTGACATCTCAGAGCATCAAGGTAAAAGGTCACTGAAGCTCTAATCATAAACTCTCTAAAGCATTACTCAGAGCTTCTGTAACTCCTCCTGCAAGAGCAGTGGAAACAGAAATGACCAACAGACCTAGAGAACGGCCAGGATAACGAACTGAGCGGCGTCCGTGATTGCTGCGCTGCAGTGGCTTTAACTTTGTTCTCCATCAAGTCGGTAGCAACAGCGAGGATGTCAATATCAGCAGGGGAACTGTGCCCAAATTATTACACGAGGTCAGTAACGATCAGTGCTGAAACACAAAAAACCAGGCAACCCCAAAATGTGTTGTCCTGGTCGAGCTAGCGTAGAGCAGTCAGTGCATTAATTAGCGGTAACAGCAGAGCACACACTCGGTTTTCTGATTCAACAGAGCAATTAAAACCCCGCAGCTCCCCGAAAGCACCGGCTGTTAGCTGGGATTTGGGATCAGTTTCCTTTCAGACTTTCTCTGGCTGTGATTCATGCGAGTTTGGAGTCCCAGTTCAGTCATGTGATACCGAAAAATCACTTACAGTCTTGTGAATACGATTTGAGTATGTTCAAATTAAATGGGTGTTCTGATGCACTGTTTTCAAGTCTCCTAAGATGTGGGGGGCTCTTTGTTTAAAAGGGAATTAATTGCATTTCTTCTTCTAGCACAATGTTTGTAACCCTGCAGTTCTACCATAGCACCCAATGGGCTCCCTTGATGACACAGCCTGTTCCCCAAGGGCTGCCTGCTCCCATTTGCTCCCATTGATAGCTTACGTACAAATTCAGTTCAGAGCAATTGCGCCATAGATGACACAAATCAGACTATTGAGAGAAATACAGAAATTGGTGTTTTGAAGTCCTCAGTACAGCCTGAATGCAGTACTTCAGTAGGAAATGTGAAATACAGATTTCCCATTGCTGCCTTGCTCTAGATCAGCCCCCAGGAGCTCAGTCCACAGAGCTTCCCTGCTCCCTTCCTGTGCTGCAGGAGCTTCTGGCACAAACCAGGGATGTGAAAATATCCTTACATGCTATGGGCTAATGTGGTGGGAATCACAGAAACAGGGAACCATGAAGACTGGAAGAGCCCTCTAGGATCCCCAAGCCCAACCCCAGCCCACCGTGCCCTTCAGTGCCACATCCCCGTGGCTCTTGAAAACTGGATGAATCATAAAATCTTAGAATGGCCTGGATTGAAAAGGAGCACAGTGCTCATCCAGTTCCAACCCCCTGCTATGTGCAGGGTCAGCAACCAGCAGACCAGCCTGCCCAGAGCCACATCCAGCCTGGCCTTGAATGCCTGCAGGGCTGGGGCATCCATAACCTCCTTGTGCAGCCTGTTCCATTGATGGATTATGCCATCCTCCACACTCACTTGTTTTTAACTCTTACCACATATCCCCATTTTTGTCTTCTGTACAGTTGCTGTGCATTTCAGCCATGAGCAAGAGTTTATGCTGAAGCTGTGAGTTTTCCCAAGAAAGCAGAGGAGAGACGCGTGTACAGGATGCAAGCGCACAGTGAGTCCTGTCCTTGCTCTGCAAGATGAGCCATTTCCATTTCTCCAGTTGGTTTTGTCTCTGCTGGCTAATTGGGTCTACGTGGACGAGGTGGTGTCTTCAGCAGCTCCTACCACACTCTGGGGAAGGTTCCTGCATCCCAGAGGCAGTGCTGCCTTTGGGGAGGGCTCGTGGTGTGCAGCTCCGCTGTCCCAGCTGGTGAGTGCTACGAATAACAATGCCAATCGCTTGGAGTCACTGCAAACTCGCAATCATCCGCTTTCTGCATTATCATTTTTCCATATGGGAAGTGGAAAATCATTTTGAGTGTGTAGAAGCAGATAAGTATTCCGGTCCTGGACATTTTCTGAGCTTGTTTACCGAGCGCCCAGGCTCCAATCGCTCGATCTAATTGACCAGGAGCAGCGTGCAGCATCGCTCTGATTATTTTTGGAGTTATCTGCGCCGAGAGGAGCGCTGACTGCCAATGGGTGCTGACGTCCGTGCCCTTCCATTAGGGCCCTGGGTCTCCTGGCATTGCCCCAGCAGCACAGAGATGGGGCAGAGCCCAATGACCAGCCCCTGGGAAGTGGCACTCGAGTCTTGTTTTTTGGCTCGCGCTGCCCTGGTGATGGCACCTATAGAGTTGTTTTGGGCAATCTTGGGATTCATTCAAAAAAATTAATCCAAAAAACCAACCAAATAAATACGGGCTTGCTACATCCCCAGGAACCCCTCGATCTGTGTCATTTCAAGGTGCTTTATTTTTAGGTGTGGAAATAGTGGAGAACTGTGACCTATTGTACCACCTATAAATGAAAAGTAGGTACTAAATATTTTATTTTTCCCCACTGCTCTGTTTATTCTTCTGCCTCGCTTTTCAATCTTCATGCAAAGTTTGTGCATGAGTGTGTGTGTGCTTTCTCTCCAAGAGCACATACAGTATCGGTAACCGTGGGCTGGATTTAATAATTCAAAGTAATATGAAACCTTGCCGGTATGGAAATGGGCTTGTGATTGGCTCGATCTGCTAGCTAGATGGGATGAAAAATCTCATTTTTGGAAAAATAATCAAAGATTATCAGCTGCATCCAGGAATTGTTGGGGTCTCGCAGAGAATGGTCGCTTTCTCTGCACACATGCATTCAAATCCCCCCACAGACACACAAATATAATGCTTATATTCAGCATGCGCCCGAATATCTTTGTGTTTTACCCCTGATACCTGTCTCACTTCCTGGTTTTTGTGTTGCTTTTTTTCCAAGGTACTAGCAGAAGAATAAGGTCTGTGCATGAAGCTGATGCTCTAGTAATTGGTGTACAGAGGGAGAGCATTAACAGAAGCAAAATGTAGGAAATAACACAGGGCTGTGTCAGCTCTGCTCTTTCATCTCCTGCTCTCTTCATCACTCACAGAAATATATTTGTAGCCTCTTAAGATATTTAGCATTTTGCTACCAAAAAGAAGTATTCAAGGAATGTAACCTAAATTACAGCACAGAGAAACAACACGTAGATATGTACATATATATACTATAGGTGTTAGGTATGGATCACAGAGGAAAAAAGGTATCTTTAGCAGAGAGCAATGCCCTTCACTTGGAAATACTCCGGCCATCATATTTCAGAGGAAAAATTAAAACAGCTTAAAAGTTCTTAATCCGGTTAAGGTCCTCAAAATCCACTCTCTCTGCCCTTTATAATGCCTTCATATATATGTATATGAGCATATGTAGATGCATGTAGATATGAGCAATATATATACGTGTTATTTTTCCTACCTCTTATATAAATATAGATATAGAGCATCATGATTGGAATTCCCAGGGGGTATTTTTGTGGAACTTCAGAGCGAATGTGGCTGACACTTGTTCTTTGTTGCCCTTGGGCTACCGGTTTGATCACCGACCGAATGGATTTATCCGTGTCAGCAGAAGGAATTTTTCACTCTTGTCGTGCGGAGATTTTACAAACCTTTCTCATGTGTAAATGAAGTGCAAGAACGTTCAGGTGCTCGGCGTTTCAGCCGGCTTTGGTGAGGCAAAGAGGAAGGTGCCAGCAGGTAGAAGGGCTGAGAGCTGACGTCTGAAACCCTCTTTTATTGAGCGACTCCGGGAAACACGCTGCAGTCGAGAGGCCTGATTTGTTCTGAGCATGGATAGCAGGCGCATGGAACGCCAAAGAGCAACGCTGAAATAATTGGTACGAGGATAGAGAAGCTTAATTTTGATGAAGCAATTAGCGGTTGTTTCCTGATTGCTCTTACTACTGTGAAGAGGAGGTGGAAAAGATCGTGTCACCTCCATCAATTCCAAACCATCTCAGGGCTCTTGAGACCTTTTGCCCCAGGATTGGGCACCAGTGAAAGTTGCTTTGAATTTTTTTTTTTAGAAAGTGTATTCTCAAGAAGGTTAAACATAAATTAGTCATAAAGCCGACAAAAGAGAGAGGAAAGGACGGGGCTGGATGATTTTCATCCAAATCTCTGTGTTTTCAGACTGTTAAATTTGGGGAAAAAAAGAAAAAAGCAAAAAAAAAAAAAAAGCAACACCCCACACCAAAATAAAAGAAGATCTGAATTCTTCTTCTCCTTAAAATAAAGATAATAAAAACCCTTTGGAAAGCAGCGCCGTTTATAACCTCAGACATGAATGTGCCATGTAATGCTGCAGATCTGAGCGGTGTTTAAGACAACAAAGTGCTATTTGATAGCGTAGCCTTTCTGTGGAACAGCTCCTCTTCCTGCCTTTGATGTCCGGATGGTTTATTTAATCAATTATTAATCAAAGTTGTGGCATTCTTCTTATATATTTAGGTAAAAAACTAAAAGACGCCTTTTCTTGCTTAAATAGAATGCGGAAACACTCGCTTTTGAAGACGTACAAAAGACATATTTGGAGAGATTCCAGTTTCGAGTGCGCCGAGGAGCAAGGAGGAAGAAATGCCCGTTTCTGAGCTGCGCTGAGAGCACGAACCGCTCGGCTCGGCCGCCTCCGTGCAACAAAAGCACTACAAATAATTAGATTAGTGTTTCCCTGGCACAGGTGCTGAACCCGACACGGAGCAGTGCCACGGAGCGGGGCGGGCAGCCGGACAGCGCGGAGCATCGCGAGCAGTTGGTAACATTTGGCAGCTGAACAGAGAAAAAAATGACTGCTAGGGAAATCTCAACCGCCGCTAATTAGCAGCAATGAACTGTGGGTAAGGACAGTACATTTTAATGTGAGAAGAATTTTACAATAACCACCACACTGAAAGAAATGGAACGAAATGCTCCCTAGCTGACCCTTGTGGCAATCTAAGCTGCATATTGCAATAATCCTGTAAATTACTATGCTTTTTTATACAGTAACTTGGAGTTAATTAGTAATTTAACATTCCTCTACGCTATTAAATGTCTTTCTTGCATTATATTATGTTGTTTCATGGTCTTACCTTAACACTAATGGGGTTTAGTTATATTTTCTCAAAACAGTAACAGTAAAATAAAACCGGGATGGAAAATTAATTAGCTCTCTTTTACCTCTGATTTACCTGTCGGTAACAATTAGGCAACTAGGCTGGGCACTGCTGGGGCATGGCGGGGCTGGGGGAAACAGGGAATTTGAGGCCAGGCAGGAGCTGGGTGTGGTGGTGGGACGTAATGGGAGCTGATGGGACGCAGTGGGACACGATGGGATGCAATGGGATGCAACGGGATGTGATGGGATGCAATGGGATGCAATGGAACGCAAGGAGACGTGACGGGATGCAGCGGGACGCAATGGGAGACGATGAGATGCAATGGAACGTGATGGGACACAATGGGACGCGGTGGAACACGTTGGCACACGATGGGTGGCAGTGGGACGCTGCTGACAGAGCAGTGGGGAGGTGTCCCCAGGGCGCGTGCGCTCAGCGAGGATGGAGCTCGGCACTGCTTGAGCCTTCCTCTGCCCCCTCCCTGCAGATGCACAGCTCCGTGGGCTAATTAAGCTAACCAACAATGACGGAACCTGTGATCTGAGGGAAAGTTTTGGCTATAATTACGGGGGCATCAGGTGAAAGAGTCTCCTCTAGATGAGTCCCGCACAAATTAAAAGTCGGAGCGCTTTTTCTCTCCCTTTCTGCTCGCCGGCCATCTTCTAAGCCGCAATCTTTGCTTCGTTTTGCTTGCTTTGCTCCTTGGTTTGGAGCTGCCATCTTCTCAGCTCCGTGGGATCGATGCGGGCACCACAGCAGAGAGGTTTGGTGGGATGGGCCTGGAGGAAGGGATGGTGCACTTGGAAGGGCTGAATCCAACACAAAACGCTTCCAGAGGACTTTGTCTCTGGGGGCTCCTGCTAAAAGCAGAGCTGCTACCATTTAAAACCCCATTCTTTGCAGCTGGATTTGAGCATCCATAAAAAATTCATCCGTGCTTTAAGAGATTTCTGCTTTTCTGTCCTCTCCATTGTTAGACAAATTGAAGTGTGCACTCTGAAGGAGTGTGGCAGTGAACTGAGAATTTATTTACTCATTCGATTCTAATATTGAGAGAATCTGCTCTCCCCGTTCAAAGGGTAGAGCAACAATGCGAGTGACATCGGGTCAGCGGCACTTCACAGCTACCTGTGAGATAGAATTGTTCTCCTGGCAGATAGGAAGTGACTGAAACCTCTTTTTCTCATCAATGTCTATTATGATTGATGGCTCTATGGTCACACTGAATATGCCCTTTTTAAATAATTCACGATGTCATCATCATAGTACTAGTTTATAACTAGCCTGTTATTTTTACCTTTGTTCATTCACTAACAGGAGATTCGATAAATTAAGCACTGTGGATTTCGGTAGCATTAGGGCTGACTGAAACCTTCCTTTTCCTTTATGTTTTCTTCTTTCTTTCTTCTTTCTTTCTTGCTTTTTTTTTAAGATGAAGCCTTCTCACACGCTGTACCAAAGGTTTTTAAAAAGCCACAAGCATCAGGTATGATGATTCACTAAAAAAACAGCTTACCAAATCAATATATTCTCTTGATGACATTAATTAAAATATAAACAAAGTACCAAAATAAGGCAGCTGCCGTAACTTAGCTTGGATTGCAGTTCATCTATCATTCAGAGAGCAGCAAGGATGCATTTCAGTCATCACAAATGCACGCTGTGGGTTCAGCACGAGAACTGGTCGTTAATTGATGCCGAATATTATTCTTGGAGTGCACTGGAAACAGTCCAAGTAGAAGGTGCTCAGTTTGGATAGCAGAATGATTTTAACAGTGGCTAATGGATAAAATATTTAATAGTGTACTTTGCAAATCAGGTTTTATTTGTTTTACTTGGAAATTGGGCTTAGTGAGTTCTATTAGAGGGTAGCTGAGCGTTTATCTTCTTAACTGTAGAAATGCTGCTGATAATTAGTGGATGTTAGGAATCACCAGATATGTTTCTTTGCCAGGTCTTTGTAATTAGAAGGCTTTATGCAACTCTCACGTTGCTTGAATTATTTTTTGTTTAACAGCTGTAAATGTCTACTTTGTTCCAAAGCCCTTTCTGTCCCTGGCCCTTGGGCTGTCCTGAAGCAGCATGGATGTGCCCACACTGGAAGCAGGGCCCGAGCAGCCATGGGAGGACGTGCTGCTGGACAGACATGGGAGGCACCAGTGGATGGATGAAGCTGCCCTGGGGAGAGGATGGGCTCAGCATGTGACAGTGCAGACGTGGCTGAGCTCGAGATCCTCACACCTGGACATGGGAGCAAGAAACCTGAGCCTGCTGTGGGTTGAAGAAGTCTGAAATTACATTCTTGGTGCCATACCAGGTCTTCTGATCCCTGGGATTTTTCACTGATGTCACTAAGAACGTGAGTACCACCTGTGTCCTTCAGGTGTGTACCTGAGATGGCTGCGCCTTGTAAACCGCAGCTGGGTGACTGTTGGCTCTTCAAATCTCAGGATATATGCCCGAAATCTTTCGTAGTTTCTTAACTTTTTCTTCCCAGTAAGAAGCAGCTGCCTCTACAAAGACTGAGCTTTCGGAGATGCTCAAAGATGAGGCCTCACAGGAGAGGAGACGATGCTGTAGTCCTGCAACTCCCTTTAGGACCCCATGGTAGTAATTAATAAGAAGTCAAGTTCTCAACTAGCTGTGACAAATTGGAAAGCTGTGAATTTGGAGATAAGAGCGGAGGGTCACAGTTTATTTGTAACTGGGTTATCTAATCGTAATAAGCACTTACAGCAAAAAGCATCATAAAAGAAAATAGTACGGTACAAGAACCTGGGAGTAATTGGGTTTTCCCACACAAATAAGATCCACATAGCAGAAGAATTTCCCTTTGAAGCAGCTGTTATAAATTTTGGGTCCACAGTTTCCATTAGCCCCTCATCATTACTGGTCCATTGCAAAACAGATAAAATGCATAAAGCATTGCCAACATTTGATATCGTAATCCTATTTGGTTTTATATTTCCTAATGTTTCTCAATGTGGCCATAAGAATGGACAAAATCACAAGAGGGATAATGCAACATTTCGTTCCCTTTCATGAAAATATTGTAATGAGGTTTTTTAATTTTTGATTTTTCATTATTTGGTGATTAGCTTTAAAGATGTGTCTAATTTTGTGCACCATCAGCTTAGAGATTTAAATGTAAAAAATGACAAATTCGTTCACATGGATCGTAGTCTTTAGGAGAATTTCTTCCTTCTGCTTGGAAGTGAGGGTGGGAATGGAGGAACAACAAAGTAATAGGGACAATAATGGTTTAATTTCTGGGGCAGGAAACAGAAAGGTGAAGTGCTGACTCTGCAGCAGGTAACTGCAAACCTTCTGTATCAGCACTGCAAGATTGCTGGGGTTTTGGACAAAAGATTTGGACTTGATTTGATTTCTGTCCAGCCTTTGGGAGCTGGACTTTGCGAGCACATCTTCCCTAACAGGGATACTGCTGCAGCAGCAAGCTGGGAAAATTAGCCTGAGATTTCAGAAGCAACAGTATTATTTCTCTTCCCTTTTTCCTCGTAGGCATCAGCCTCTATGCAGCTCCAAAAGGGCAAGAGGGCTTCCGATGCTGGTGTCAGGAGAATTGTTCTTCTCATGGCACATCTCAGCCAGGTGGGTAACAAATCACAGGACCCTATGTGGCATTTCGAGGCATTGCACAGGACTCCCAAATGTTGATGGGAGGGATGGGATCCATTGCTTTATGGGTGAAGCTTACAGCTAGCCAGCCTGACCCAGGGCTGCCTGGGGAAGGGAGGGAAGTTTGGTTTGGTGAGGCTGGAAATAGCAGAGGTTGTAGGCAATTGCTTCCAACTTGTGGCCCATGCTCATTCTCTAAGCCATCCCTAGCCTGGACCTCCAGGGACATCCCCTGGACCTCCATGGCTGTGTCACAGCCTTGCAATGACAACATCTGCACCATTTGTAAATCTCTTTTCTACTCTTTTTCCATCCAGTCTTTAGCAAGGCCCAGACCACAAACAATTCCCAGTTTAGGCTGAGCTTTTCCATGGTAGAAATACAGATTGAGGGCTGAATCCTTGTTTTGAGCACCGTCCTGGAGGGGACCATCAACATCTGCAAGAGAATGATCATAATTCTGCAAATCTACCTCATGCATATGGGATAGGCACATATATATGTGTACCACAGGTAGGAATGTGACATACATACCCCATTCAAAATTAGTCAGCTTACCCTAAGGAGAGATTTATCCGTAATAAAGAGCTCTGGATAATGAAGTTTAAACAAACACCATATTTCTAATAGATCTCTTGTTTGTTCTAGGCAGCAGCAAATCTTATGTCCCATCAGCTTGCGGTAGGGACACCTCCATCCCGAGCCACTGGGTGCCATGTGTGCCTCTGGCCATGCCAGTGGTGATGCACTGTGCCAATGGCGATGCTTGGTGCTTCTGGGGACATTCAGTGCTGTGAGGACACTCTGTGCCATTGGGGTTGCTTGGTTATTGGGAATGCTTGGTTTCAGTGGAGACATTTGATGCCATTGGAGACATTTGGTGCCATTGGGGATGGTTGGTGTTATTGGAGATACTTGGTGCCATTGGAGACATTTGGTGCCATTGAAGGTGCTTGGTGCCATTGGAGACATTTGGTGCCATTGGGGATGCTTGGTGCCATTGGGGATGCTTGGTGCCATTGGAGACATTTGGTGCCATTGGGGATGGTTGGTGTTATTGGAGATATTTGGTGCCATTGGGGATGCTTGGTGCCATTGGAGACATTTGTTGCCATTGAAGGTGCTTGATGCCATTGGGGATGCTTGGTGCTATTGGAGATATTTGATGCCATTGGGGATGTCCGGTGCCCCGGGACAGCAATCACTGAACTCCCCCACCCGTGAAAAAATCTCTTAGGTGGGGCTGTGGCGTCTGGATCAACGTCTTTAGTTTATGAAA